GGGGGAGGAGGGGGGCGGCGGCCAGCGCCTTGCGGCGGCGGAAGGCGGCGTGGCGCAGCCGGGCGATGCTGACGACGCGCTCCAGGCTGACGGCCGAGAGGGAGAGGATGACGACGGTGCCGCTGAGGCTCACCACGTAGAAGAGCATGTGGCAGACGACGTCGCCCAGCACCCAGGACTCGGTCCAGCGCACGACGGCGATGAAGGGGGTGGGGGTGATGAAGAGCAGGTCGGCGCAGAAGAGGTTGAGGACGAGGCAGTTGGCGGCGCACAGCCGGTGCCGGTGACGCTGCTGCACCAGCAGGCAGATGCCCCAGACGTTTCCCACCAAGGCCAGCAGGAAGACGGTGGCCAGGGCGAACGACTCACCGACGCGCAGGGCCGTCACATTGCGGCCCCTGAAGTCCGAGAAGAAGGGGAAGTAGGTCCTGTTCCCCGCTGGCACGCCCCCGGGCCCCAGCATGAGGGTGGCCAGTGGGCATGAGAGACCCACCGCAGCCAGCGGCACCAGCCCTAGGGAAAGGGCTGCGCTCCCAACCACCACGGTGGCACCCGGGGTGCCCGCCTGACACCGAGCGGGGGGCTGGCCGCCATCCCCCTCCCTCCTCTTCCTCCTGCCCGTGCCGCCAAGGGCTCGGCTGTGGCAGCCGGGCGGTTTATGGCTCTTGCACCAGAGTGGAACAAGGAAGTGGGAGGGTAAACACGGCGCAGCTCACACAAAGGCGAGGCCGCCGTTCGTGGGGATGCAGCAAAGGGCTGGGGGCGAGTGGGGCCGCCTGACGCTTCCCCAGGGAGGGTGTGGGTCGGCGTGCTGGCACCTCCATGCTGTGGGTCCCAGGCCTGGCCACCTCCTCCAGGGCTGGCCCTGGTCTGCACTGCTCTTCAGGCAGGCCTCCGGGGTGCCCGTGAGCCAAGAAGGCCGCCCAGGCTGCTCCCCTCGGCTGGGGATGTGTGCATGGCCTAAAACAGAGGAATGGCTGTCAGACCGCTCTGAGAGCTCTTCTCGGGAGCCTGGGATAACCAGCGCTGCTCTAAGGTAAAAAAAGAGGAATTTACCATCACCTTGTGTCTTGATAGTGGCGTTTGGAAACAGCAGTCCTGTGCGTTGCTCGTGCTAACCATGGTCCGGTGTGGAGGAGTTGTGTCGCTGTCTTGATTTTTAGGATCCGTTTACTAAGTTGATCTGGAGTCTTACCCACCTGTGTTATGAGGTCTTGCTGAAGAAGCCTGGTAAATTAAGACATACCTAGAAAATACCATCTTTTCTCTGGACTTCTGTTCTTGAAAGCAGTTGCTCATATTGTAAATAAAGTAGGCCTTTCTGCTTATGCTCTTCATTCCAGATGATTTAGAAGTGGACTGGGAGTGAAGCGCATAAATCGTCACAGACGAGCAGGTAACGTCTCATAAAAGAAGATAAAACGTTTTCAAGTATGTAAACAGTTGTATAACCTTAGACGGCTCTGGATGAATTCGTTTGACTCGGTGGCAGTGTAGGTGCTTAAGGGTGCAATTTACAGGCTTGGCCGTACGGAGCTACACCTTTTGATTAGGTGAGAGTTATTCCAAACCGGTGTGCTGGGTGACGGGGTGGTGCTTCCGTGGTACCCTGGGTGTGACCCTGCCATCAGCTGCTTACGCAATGGCATTAGTGGGGATTCCAGATTAGTGGGGATTCCAGAAACTCCGTCCTTCTAAGGAGCAATCTCCTAATGAGCAATGACAAGAGTGAGATCTTTCCTGGACCGCTTCCCACATCTTTGCCAGGGCAGAATGTACATTGATTTTAATTAGCATGTTTTCTCTTGAGCTATAAGTGGTTCTAACTTTCTGTGCTGTCTCATCAAACAGGGAGTTTGCAGGGCAGCTTAAACAGGTGAGATGTTCCTTGCTGATTTCTTTGACTGTATGAAATGTGGGCAGATTTGCTGTTAAGTGGGTGGCTGCTATGAACTATGAGCTCAAATGAAGACAATAAGAAAACTTGCAAAGATGATTTTTTTGGCAGCCAGCAATGCAAGTGACTGGCAAGTGTCTCGAAACATGTATTTTATTCTACATCACTTGCTGGGAGAAAAAACTCTGTGCCCATATTGCAAAAGTTTCAGCAAATTTAATAGAACTACTGAGGATGATTATTCATATTTATGATCAAATCTTGACATATCTAGCCACAATTTATGTTGGCTTTGCTATGGACTGATTCTGTAAAATGCTTAGCGAATCTTGAAATACAGCAAATACCTTCCAGTTGCCGCAGCCTCACAGGTCTGGGACTTTATACAAGCTGACAAGCTAGCCCCGAAGTTCTGGGCAGCTGGCAGTAGCGGTGATGTGGTCAGCTCTGAATAGAGGCTAGGATTTGGGAAAGAGCCATCATTAGAAGTCTGGTGGTACCTGCGTGAAAACTGGGAGGGCATTCACAGGACGGGTGGGGAGCAGCTGGAAATGGTAGCACAGATAGATGCAAATTGTATTATGAACGAAATCTTTAGCCCCTTTGGCATTAGTGGAAAATGAAATCAGAAACTGGTCCTATCAATTCAGGGTAAACACATTTGAAACAGAATGGAGGAAGGAGAATACGGAGAGAAACATCCAAAGCAACATTATTGAAGAAATGAAGGTATTTTCAGTCAGGGAGGAAAGGAATGCCATAGAGGAGCAGAAGGCTGAAAATGAGATGATGTGTGGAAGTATCTGGATAGACCCTTGGTCTCCTTTAGAAAGGACCACCTTTAGCTTTGGTCCTTAGCTGTGAATGAGAACCTTACTTACTTGGCATAAGCCTGTTGTTTGCTCAGGAGAACCAAAGCAAAATGCTGCTTTTAGTATGCTACTAGTGAGTGAGCTTCACACTGACCTGTGTACAAAATCCTGTGCCTGGGGACAGCAGAGGTGTGAAGAGACATGCACATTTCCATGGGGTTTAATCAAATGAACGGGAGCTCCTTGCAGGAGCAAAACCAGTCTGATTACTTGTGGATCTAATGGATCCATTTTCTAAAAAAATTAGTTTTCTTTTCCCTCCCATGAAGTACAAAAGCTGTGTTTGCCGTTGGGTAGCTACAATCATAGCAACCATCACAACGTGAAATCTGAGGAAGGGAGGAATCCTAACCTCGACAGAGCTACTCTGGCGTTACTGTAATAGGTGGATGCTGTGTGTGGTATATGCTCCACATGTGGTTATGGCAAGGAAGTGATTAACAGAATGCTTGGAAACCTGATAAGATTGCTTAACCTATATCATTTCTTCAATCTATGTGCTCTTTTATGCTCAGAAGTGGTGAAACATGGAGTCAACTCAGATTTGATTGTTCTAGGTTGAATGAAAGTTGTGGGAACCTCTGTGGAGCTGGTTAGCTAGTCTAGCAGGGAAAAATCTTGTTTCTTTTTTTGTGTTTTTTTTTCATCCTGAATGAAAGCCTGAGTTTTTGCCTTCTCTGTGGCAGATAAGGGCTGTGTTTCCTGATACCATAAGTCAAGCTCTGTTTTTCAGATTGTTTCCCTGACAACCGTGAACTGTCATGACAGATGGAGATAGTTCAGATTATTTATTTCTTTAGCATAAAAAATCCCAGAAAGAGGGACCTCTTGGGCTAGGTAATTCTGGGAGATGGGGATTCTTGTTCCATTTGGACATGACCTAGTAAAGGTTTTTGCCCTATTTATGCATCCTCTTGCACGTAGATTGGTGTTCAGGTCGTTGGGTCTATTTTCATGCACCTGTATCGCAGTGAGTAAATAGTACTGACTTCTGTAACAGACGTATTGCATATTTAATGTTTGCTAAGTGGTTTAAATTAATTGCATTAGAAATGTTGACTCTTTGTCTTCACAGAAGAGGTTCCAAGCTTGTAGGTGACTCAAGCTGTGTCTATATAATAAGGGTTTTAGCATAAGTTGCAACCAAGGTTAGCTTTCTATTTTCATTTTTGCTTTTACATACCATACTGCAGCTGTTCTGCTTCTAGACACTATTAATTCTGTGCTTAGAAGAAGTTATGCCATTGTAAGGTTTGTTTCAAACACAAATCTGTTTTGATTTATTTTGCTTTTTGGGAAGTTTCTAACTGCTCACCCATTGTATACTTCCGTATCAGTGAGCTGAAGCATTTACAGCAATTTTCAAGGGACAATTTTAAACTTGTAGTGCAAATACAAATGCATCTGTTTATCTTCAAATAGTAGCAAGCTTGCCCACTCCAGTGTCCACTGAAAATATCAGATGCTTCTATGGGTCTGTGTGATCATGTCAAGAACTAGTCCCTGTTTCTTCTGGGGAGTCTTATTTTCCTGTGGTCAGTATCCGTCAGAGGCTGGCATGCTTCCTGGGATATGTGCCAGTGGCGCTGCAGTTTCAAGCTGTAACAGCGGCATTACTGACCAATGCCTCAGTCAAAAGCAGAGCTGCTGATAATACTCTCAGTAGATGTGCTTTCTGATAAGAGCTGGATCAGTTTTTTGTCATCAAGACCACCAGAAGTTTCGCCAACAGGAACGTTGAACAATTTCCTCATGACTTGCATTAAGGGAGGGTTTTCTCTCTGAACCAAGTGCAAATGTAAGTACGTAATCCACCTAACAGAGAATTCCCATGGAAGTTCATGATCTCTGTTATGCTGCACGCTAACCAAGCTTCACCAGGGTGACTCAGCTCCACCTAGACTGTTCTAACTAAATGAGGTTGCTTCTTAACAGTTTTTGATACTGTATTACACTTACACATCTAGCCCATGGATTTAGGGAGTTTATCAGTGAACGCAGGGTATCAGAATGGTTTATTTGGACATTGCAGGATCTGGTAGAACACTCTCACCAAGGAACTGAGACCCTGAGTGAGATTTACATGGAGAATTATAGTCTGATATTTAAGTGCTGCTGGACTTTTGCTAACTTTCAGGTGTGCATAATGTTACTTACATTCC